AAAAAAAAAAAAAAAAAAAAAGATGGAATACGAATAATATAGAAGATTTATTAACAATTTGTATTATTATATAATAATCTTGCTGATCTTTCAATTCACATATAAAGTATGTATGTTCGTCACTCTATTTACTTTCACACTTCATGTCTCTGTAAAAACTAAATATGAAACGTAACTAAGAGTAATGAACGACTAGTTAACACCCCTCACATATTGTCATATAATAAGCACAATTATTTCATAAACAAATCAGTCGAAACCCCAAAGACACCCACACTAATTTCAAAAGTATAGAATATAAATAAATAAAAGCTAAACGTGCCGCACAATATGTATGCTTGTATGTACAAATAAATATAGTTAAATATATACATATAGACGTACATATGTAGTATTTTTTCAAAGTGTATTTCGGGGGCTCGACCCATCCAGCTGTATATATRTATAAGTAAATAAAATTTGAACAGACTAGAGCTCTATGTAGTCATAGATACATGCTGAGCACATCCGCTTCATTATTATTATATTAGCTCGACATTAACAACAACAACAAGTACAGTGCGGTATCACTTGTTGCGCTTATCAGCGGTATACAAAAAAAAAATATTTTTTGTTTTGGCCATAAAAAGTTTTTTTTTTCGCAGAAAAATGCAAAAACAAAGTTTAAAATGAAGAAAAAAAGAAATGAAAATGTATTGAATATTCTTAATCTCCGATTACGAATCGATATACCCAAACAACAACAACAATAAGAGGCTAAGAAGAAAACAACAACATTTACTTTTCGAAACTAACGGTGACTCGGCATGTCAGAAAAAAAATTGAGCTCTAACGATGACGCTGCGTAAATTTGTGCGCTCCACTGGTTCGCCGCCAGCTAGAGAATTGACGAAACAGCGAATTGGCGAACTCTCGCCGAGACAGCGGCGGACTCGGCGAATAAGCGGGTTTTATAGCAAGACTCGAATAAATTATAGCGCCATAATATAACTTTTGGATAAAACAGAAAACAGAGAGAGAAGATATGATCATAAACCAAACATGTTTTGTTGTTGTTGTCATTGCTGTTGTTGACTTTTCTCTTTTACTCTACTCTCTACCTTCTTGTAGTTCTGCTTGTTAAGTTATTTTTAAATATTTGTTTGTGGGTGGCTAGATAACTCTGGCGAGGCGTGAAAAACGGGTGTTAATTGAAGGTGTCTATGTCGAGTGATGTAATTAATGTCTGCGAATTTGTTGAGCTAAAGTGTTAGATTGTATATTTAGTAATTACCGAATGTATATTAGATAAAAGCTGCTAATAAATTGAAATTGGTGAATCACAGGCATAATCGATCAGTTTTGAGTTTTACTATATACATTTAAATATAAAAAATTAAAAAAAAATTAACATCTTTTTAGTAAGAAATATTTTTAACTGGCTTAATATTCGTCAAATTTCTTCTTTATTTATACTCATTTAGCTAGTTCTGCAGACAAGTCAATAATTTATTCATCTCTGAATTTTGTTATTTGTAGTATTTTTAGCTGGAATTATTTTAAAATAAATTTTAACAATTTTCATAATATTCCTCAGTTCTAAATGCATAAATTAAAATAATAAGAGGTTTTGTTTTTGTTTTTATTATAGCAGCTTTTCTTTGTGTTGTTCGGGTCTGTTTTTCTGTGTCTATCTCTTGTCTTCATACACACACAGGCGCACTCGCGCGCCAACACAAACACGCACACACACACAGGGAATGCTCAATTTAAAGCCGGCTTTTTTTTTTTATTTATTTATTTATTTGTTTATGTGCTCGGCTTCTCGTTTGCTTTAGCTTGCGATGTCTTCAAAATTAATGCCTTTACTGGTGTGTATGTGTGTGAGCGTATGACTGCCTCTATTCTCTCTATGCAAGCATTCGTGTGCGCTCCAAGTCAGGTTTGTGCTCTTCAGACTGAGAGAGAGAGAGAGAGAGAGCGCGTCACACAGCGACAAAAATATGTGCATATGCAAACACAGTGAATTGATTTAAGCGTCGATTAACGCACACATCGACTCGCACACGCATACGCATACGAATAGAGACTCAGAGCGAAAGCCGCGACAACATACGATATGGATATGGGGCAGCGGCAACAGCAGCAACCGCAGCAGAGGCTTGGCGTCTGTGGGCACGGTCAGCCAACGAGCGAGCGCGCGCGCTCAGTGAAAAATTTTGTGTCGTCTCGTCGCAACTGCGTGTTTTTTCATTAATCAGTCAGTAGCACTAAAATGGTGCGCAAGTCCGGTAGAGTTAAAATTCCTACTAGTCGCGATGTGGGCAGCATTCTGTTGCGTGGCAAAGCCAAAGGCGATGCCACTGGTGGACGTGTCAGCAGCGATGGGGAGGCGGTAATGGCTAGGCGACAGCGCCAACGGCAGCAGCGACGTCGACGACGGGACAGCAGCGCCAGCAATTCAGCTTCAAGTGATGGTGTGTGTGTGTGTGTGTTTGTGTTAATTTTTTTGCTATATGTGTTATTGCGCGTCTTGTTGCCATTTTATTTTTAGTATTCACTTTTTAAGTCTTTTTTGTTTTAGTAGAGCATATAATAAGAATATTTTTCTTTATTTTTGGCAGCATAAAAAGTTCATGAGCAGTACAGTTAAAACTGCAGCACACGGCTAATGCACTTTACGTATACAATGAGAGCTGAGGCTTAGGCAAGCAAGAAAGGCATTTGCGAGCCCCCTAAACTGTAAAGCACAGCTGCGTAGGCAGCGATTGTGCAACTGTTGTTATTGTGCTGCAGTTAAAATGTTTAATAATAAATATTTTTTGCCTAGACAAGTTTGTATAGTATATGTATATATACATATGTACTTCACATTTAATTTGAGCGAGGCTGTAACTAAACTGGTATGTGTGGAATGCTTTTAAAACTTTGAAATCGCCTATTGCGCTTTGTGCATGCACACAGTGTGATTCAAACTGTTTAAAGTTGTTAGCGAACTGCTCAAACTGTATGAGAGTGCTGTTCGTGGCTTTTAAACTGTGGATTCAAATAAAACTATAGCCAACTTTGATTGCTTAGATCCAATATCACAATATTAACTTAATATATATTTATTATATAAGATTTGTTATTTCAATCTATAATATTTATCTATCTCTCTCGCACACAGAATCGGCCGAAAGTCAAATTATGCATGCAGAGGCTCTGCCCGTTGGACATCCTGCTGGCTCGCCCATTGGCCATGCGCTGAGTCCTAATGGCGTTGGCCTCGGCCTCAGCAACAGCAGCAATCAGAGCAGCGAGAATTTCACACTCTGCAATGGCAATAGCAATGCCAGCAATAACAACAACATGATGTACTCACCGAACAACAACAACAACAACAACAATGGCAGCAGCAGTCAACAGCAACAGCAGCAACAGCAGCAGCAGCAGCAACAACAACAACAGCAGCAGCAGCAGCAACAACAGTCGCCAACAGTTTGTGCAATTTGTGGAGATCGGGCGACAGGCAAACACTATGGCGCCTCCAGCTGTGATGGCTGCAAGGGTTTCTTCAGGCGCAGCGTACGGAAAAATCATCAATACACCTGCAGGTGAGTTTGACTAAGAAATAACCAGCTGAACTCACGCTTAAAGCTCCCTCTCTCTCTCCTCTCTCTTTCGCGCTGTAGATTCGCACGCAACTGTGTTGTGGACAAGGATAAGCGCAATCAGTGCCGCTATTGCCGTCTGCGCAAATGCTTCAAGGCTGGCATGAAGAAGGAGGCAGTGCAGAATGAGCGCGATCGCATAAGCTGTCGTCGCACTTCCAATGATGATCCGGATCCAGGCAACGGACTGTCGGTTGTATCGCTCGTCAAGGCGGAGAACGAATCACGACAGTCGAAAGCGGGCGCTGCCATGGAGCCCAACATCAATGAGGATCTCTCGACCAAACAGTTTGCCAGCATTAACGATGTCTGCGAGTCCATGAAACAGCAGCTGCTCACCCTAGTCGAGTGGGCCAAACAGATACCGGCCTTCAACGATCTGCAGCTGGACGATCAAGTCGCTCTGCTGCGCGCCCATGCAGGTGAGCATCTGCTGCTTGGTCTCTCGCGTCGCTCCATGCATCTGAAGGATGTGCTGCTGCTCAGCAATAACTGTGTCATCACCAGGCATTGTCCAGGTGAGTTTTGATTTTGTCCTTTGTTCGTCATGTTTGTTAATCTCTCTCTGTCTGTATTATAGATCCCCATGTCTCGCCCAATTTGGATATATCACGCATTGGCGCGCGCATTATTGATGAACTGGTTGTCGTTATGAAGGACGTGGGCATCGATGATACCGAATTTGCCTGTATTAAGGCATTGGTCTTCTTTGATCCCAGTAAGTGGAGTCGATTGGGGCATTTTTTTTTATTTTTTTTTGAACATTTCCAATTGATCAAATCTCTCGTTTTATAATTGCAGATGCCAAGGGTCTCAATGAGCCAAATCGCATCAAGTCATTGCGCCATCAGATACTCAATAATCTAGAGGATTACATCTCGGACAGACAGTATGAGTCGCGTGGTAGATTTGGGGAGATTCTGCTTATTCTGCCGGTGCTGCAGTCAATCACCTGGCAGATGATCGAACAAATACAATTTGCCAAAATCTTTGGCGTGGCACACATCGATTCGCTGCTGCAGGAGATGCTGCTGGGTGGTAAGTGGAAGCGCTCAATAGAATAAAATAAAGTCAATTTAATTTGTACTCTTCTTTGCAGGCGAACTGGCGGACAATTCGTTGCCACTGTCGCCGCCAAATCAGTCCAACGATTACCAGAGTCCCTCGCATGGCGGCAATTTGGATGGCAGCCAGGTGAGCTCCACACTGGATACACTGGCCACGGGGAGCAGCGGAGCGCATGGCCTGGATCTGGATGTGCAGCAGATACAGGCGCTCATTGAGGCGAACAGTGCGGAGGATACGTTACGTGCCTATACGAACAACAATTCGGTGTCAGCGGCTGCTGCTGCCGTCGCTGCCGTCGTGGCTGCCACGCCCTCGTCTGCCGTGACGCCGCCACTGAGCAGTGCTGCCTGTAGTCCGAAATCCCAGGAGAACGTATACATGGATACGACAGCGTCACGGCAATATGGTGTCCAACACAAGAGTCAGCTAATGCACAGTCCACAGCGAGTACATCCCTACCAAAGAGTGGCCACATCGCCGGTCGATTCCGGCCTCGGAATGCGCAATCCGGCGGACATTACGCTCAATGAATACAATCGCAGCGAAGACAACAGCGCTGATGAGCTGTTGCGTCGCACGCCCCTCAAAATCCGAGTGCCCGAAATGATGGCGCCCAGCTATGTGATGGGTATGTATACAATATACTTATATATATCTTCAAACCTGAGACTCATTTGAATCCTTATTCTTTACAGAGCCATGTCGCATGACGCTTAAACAGGAGCCCGAAACGGGCTATTAACTGGTGCAATAATCTAAGTGACATATATATATATATATACACTACCCTACCCTACCCTATCTTACCCCACCATACACTACCGTAACCGATTCCCCCACTCTACCTCCTCCTCTACAGGCCCCCTCTTGCTATCTGCTAAGTGCTATACAACAAAATCAAAAAAACAAAACACAAAAACTTACTTAATTGTTATTGCCTTGAACTTTTTGATACCGTTTTTTTATTAGAGTTTAAGTAGGTATTTTGGAAATTGTTGCTTAATTTGTAAAACACGCAATTGCAATCTATTTTTATATTTTTTATTCAAAGGATTTGCTCAAAAACTTTAAAGTAAACTGTTTGTTGGTTATCTATAGATATATTATGCATATGCAAATATATATATATATATATATGTATATATATT